GGGGACCCCCAAATTGGGGAGGGGTCCTGAGGGGTTTGGGGAGGGTCTCAGGGGGGTTTTGGGGGGTCCTGAGATGTTTTTGGGGTATCCTGAGGGGGTTTTTTTGGTGTTTCCCCCTCTTTTTGGGGGTCCTGAGTGATTTTTGGGGCGTTTCCCCCTCTTTTTGGGGATCCTAAGGGGTTTTGGGGGGGTCCTGGGTGGTTTTTTGGGGGGTTTCTCCCTCTTTTTGGGATTCCTTTGGGATTTTTGGGGGGTCCTGAGAGGTTTTTGGGGCATCTTGAGTGGTTTTTTGGGGTGTTTCCCCCTCTTTTTGGGGGTCCTGAGTGATTTTTGGGGCGTTTCCCCCTCTTTTTGGGGATCCTAAGGGGTTTTGGGGGGGTCCTGGGTGGTTTTTTGGGGGGTTTCTCCCTCTTTTTGGGATTCCTTTGGGATTTTTGGGGGGTCCTGAGAGGTTTTTGGGGCATCTTGAGTGGTTTTTTGGGGTGTTTCCCCCTCTTTTTGGGGGTCCTGAGTGATTTTTGGGGCGTTTCCCCCTCTTTTTGGGGATCCTAAGGGGTTTTGGGGGGGTCCTGGGTGGTTTTTTGGGGGGTTTCTCCCTCTTTTTGGGGGTCCTGAGGATTTTTTGGGGGATTTTCCCCCTCTTTTGGGGTATCCTGAGAGTTTTTTGGGGCATCCTGAGGAGGCTTTTTGGGGATTTCCTCCACTTTTTGGGATTCTTGAGGGATTTTTTGGGGAGTTTCCCCCTCTTTTGGAGTATCTCGAGCATTTTTTTGGGGTATTTCCCCCTCATTTGGAGTATCTTGGATATTTTTTTGGGCTATTTCCCCTTCTTTTGGGGTATCCTGGGTGGTTTTTTGGGGTATTTCCCCCTCTTTTGGGGTATCCTGGATGTTTTTTTGGGGCATTTCGCCCTCTTTTTGGGATTCCTGAGGGATTTTTGGGGGTATTTCCCTCTCTTTTGGAGTATCTTGGATATTTTTTTGGGCTATTTCCCCTTCTTTTGGGGTATCCTGGGTGGTTTTTTGGGGTATTTCCCCCTCTTTTGGGGTATCCTGGGTGTTTTTTTGGGGTATTTCCCCCTCTTTTGGGGTATCTTGGATATTTTTTTGGGCTATTTCCCCTTCTTTTGGGGTATCCTGGGTGGTTTTTTGGGTTATTTCCCCCTCTTTTGGGGTATCCTGGATGTTTTTTTGGGGCATTTCGCCCTCTTTTTGGGATTCCTGAGGGATTTTTGGGGGTATTTCCCTCTCTTTTGGAGTATCTTGGATATTTTTTTGGGGCATTTCCCCCTCTTTTTGGGATTCCTGAGGGACTTTTTGGGTTATTTCCTCCTCTTTTGGGGTATCCTGGCTGGTTTTTTGGGCTGTTTCCCCCGGTTTTTGGGGGGGCTCCCCGGATTTTGGGGGGGATTCCGGGGGGTCCCAGGGGAAGGAGACCCCCAGGCCCTCCATGCGCTCGCGGTAGACGCGGTCGAGATCCTGGCTCTGCTCCGGGCTCAGGTGGTTGCGCCAGTCCCCCGAAATTCCTGGGGGAAAACGGGGGGAAAATGGGCAAAAATGGGGAAAAGAGTATCTCGAGCATTTTTTTGGGGTATTTCCCCCTCATTTGGAGTATCTTGGATATTTTTTTGGGCTATTTCCCCTTCTTTTGGGGTATCCTGGGTGGTTTTTTCGGTTGTTTCCCCCTCTTTTGGGGTATCCTGGTTGTTTTTTTGGGGCATTTCGCCCTCTTTTTGGGATTCCTGAGGGATTTTTTGGGGTATTTCCCTCTCTTTTGGAGTATCTTGGATATTTTTTTGGGCTATTTCCCCTTCTTTTGGGGTATCCTGGGTGGTTTTTTCGGTTGTTTCCCCCTCTTTTGGGGTATCCTGGTTGTTTTTTTGGGGCATTTCGCCCTCTTTTTGGGATTCCTGAGGGATTTTTTGGGGTATTTCCCTCTCTTTTGGAGTATCTTGGATATTTTTTTGGGGCATTTCCCCCTCTTTTTGGGATTCCTGAGGGACTTTTTGGGTTATTTCCTCCTCTTTTGGGGTATCCTGGCTGGTTTTTTGGGCTGTTTCCCCCGGTTTTTGGGGTTCCCCCGGTTTTTGGGGGGGCTCCCCGGATTTTGGGGGGGATTCCGGGGGGTCCCAGGGGAAGGAGACCCCCAGGCCCTCCATGCGCTCGCGGTAGACGCGGTCGAAGCGCTGGCTCTGCTCCGGGCTCAGGTGGTTGCGCCAGTCCCCCGAAATTCCTGGGGGAAAACGGGGGGAAAATGGGCAAAAATGGGGAAAAATGGGGAAAAAATGGGGAAAAAAGGGGAAAAATGGGGGGAAATGGGGAGGAAATGGGAAAAAAAGGGGGGGAAATGGGAAAAATGGGGGGAACAATGGGAAAAAAAGGGGAAAATGGGAAAAAAGAGGAAAAAATGAGAAAAAAAGGGGGGAAATGGGGGATAAAGGGGGAGAAAATGGGAAAAAAAGGGGAAAAATGGGAAGAAAAGGGGAAAAATGGGGGAAAAAAAAACCTCATTTTTCCCCCCAAAAAACCTCCTTCTTTTCCTCCCTCAAGAGCTCCATTTTCCCCTCTAAAACCCCAATTTTTTCCCCCAAAATCCCAATTTTTTCGCCAAAAAAATTCCCATTCTTCCCCCATAAAAACCCCTTTTCCCCTCTAAAATCCCCATTTTTTATCCTAAAATCCCCTTTTTTTCACCAAAAATCCCCATTTTTCTCCCCAAATTCCCATTATTTTCCCCCAAAATCCCCAATTTCCCACTTTTCCCTTTAAATCCCCCAATTTTCTCCCCAAAAACCCCCATTTTTCCCCTTAAAAATCCCATTTTTTCTCCCATAAAGCCTCAATTTTTCCCCTCTAAAATCCCCACTTTTTACCCTAAAATCCCCATCTTTTCACCAAAAATCCCCATTTTTTTCCTCCAACCCCCAATTTCCCATTTCTCTCCTTCTAAACCCCCAATCTTTTCCCCAAAAATCCCCATTTTTTCACACAAAAAAAATCCCATTTTTTACCATAAAAATCCCATTTTTTTGCCATGAAAATCACATTTTTTGCCCTAAAATCCTCATTTTTTCACCAAAAATCCCCATTTTTTTCCCTCCAAACCCCAATTTCCCATTTCTGTCCCTCTAAAACTCCAATTTTTTACCCAAAAAAATCCCCTTTTTTTACCAAAAAACCCCCATTTTTCCCCCATAAAAATCACATTTTTTACCATAAACCCCCCATTTTTTAACATAAAATCCTCATTTTTTCACCAAAAATCACCATTTTTTTTTCTCCAAACCCCAACTTCCCATTTCTGTCCCTCTAAAACTCCAATTTTTTCCCCAAAAATCCCCATTTTTTAACTAAAAAACCCCCATTTTTCCCCCATAAAAACCGCATTTTTCGCCATAAAATCCCCATTTTTTAACATAAAATCCCCATTTTTTCACCAAAAATCACCATTTTTTTTCCTCCAAACCCCAATTTCCCATTTCTGTCCCTCTAAAACTCCAATTTTTTCCCCAAAAATCCCCATTTTTTTAACTAAAAAACCCCCATTTTTCCCCCATAAAAACCGCATTTTTCGCCATAAAATCCCCATTTTTTCACATAAAATCCCCATTTTTTCACCAAAAATCCCCATTTTTTTTTCCTCCAAACCCCAATTTCCCATTTCTGTCCCTCTAAAACTCCAATTTTTTCCCCAAAAATCCCCATTTTTTTAACTAAAAAACCCCCATTTTTCCCCCATAAAAACCCCCTTTTTCCCCTCTAAAATCCCCATTTTTTACCCTAAAATCCCCATTTTTTCACCAAAAATCCCCATTTTTTTTTCCTCCAAACCCCAATTTCCCATTTCTGTCCTTCTAAAACCCCACTCTTTTTACCTAAAAAACCCCAATTTATGGACAGAAAAATGCCATTTTTTAACCGTAAAAATCGCATTTTTCGCCATAAAATCCCCATTTTTTCACATAAAAACGCCATTTTTTCACCAAAAATCCCCATTTTTTCCCCCCAAACCTTGGCCTTGGATCGGAAGCAGCCGCGGGGGAAGAGGTGCAGGGGCAGGTGGGAGCTGATGATGCGGGGCCGGGCGTTGGCGCGCGCCCGCCGCAGCCCCAGCAGCGTCTCCAGCCACGGGCCCCGCTCCCAGTTGGGCACCGAGCGGCACCACGAGGGGTCCCCGCCCTGGCGGATCAGGCTCAGGATCTCCAGCATCCACACCGTGCCTAAAAAATGACATTTTGGGAAAATTTGGGTCATTTTGGGGCTTTTTTCCCGATTTTTTCCTGATTTTTTAGTGATTTTTTGTGATTTTTTGGGGATTTTTGGGGATTTTTTGGTGATTTTTTTGGGTCCCCGCCCTCGCAGATCAGGCTCAGCATCTCCAGCATCCACACGGTCCCTAAAAATCGAAAATTTGGGAAAATTTGGGTCATTTTTGGGGTTTTTGGGTTTTTTTTCCGATTTTTTCCTGATTTTTTAGTGATTTTTTAGGATTTTTTGGTGATTTTTTGAGGTTTTATTGGGGTTTTTTGGGTCTGATAAGACTCAGGATTTCCAGCATCCACAAAGTTCCTAAAAAACCCCAAAATTTTGGGACATTTTGGGTCATTTTTAGGTTTTTTTGCCTTTTCTTTTGACTTTATTTACTGTTTTTTTGGGATTTTTTGCTCTTTTGCCCAGTTGGGCACCGAGCGGCACCACGAGGGGTCCCCGCCCTCACGGATCAGGCTCAGGATCTCCAGCATCCACACCGTCCCTAAAAAAATCAAAAATTTGGGAAAATTTGGGTCATTTTGGGGTTTTTTTTCCGATTTTTTCCTGATTTTTTAGTGATTTTTTGGGATTTTTAGGGGATTTTTGGGGATTTTTTGGTGATTTTTTTGGGTCCCCGCCCTCGCGGATCAGGCTCAGGATCTCCCATTCATTTTTTTTATTTTCCTCCCCAAATTCTGGATTTTCTCCCCAAATTCCAGAATTTCCCCCAAAATTCAGATTTTCCTCCCCAAATTCCATATTTTTCTGCCAAAATTCAAATTTTCACCCCCAAATTCTGTATTTTTTCTCCCAAAATTCAGATTTTCCTCCCCAAATTCCATATTTTTCTGCCAAAATTCAAATTTTCACCCCCAAATTCTGTATTTTTTCTCCCAAAATTCAGATTTTCATCCCCAAATTTCAGATTTTCCTCCCCAAATTTCAGATTTTCTCCCCCAATTCCGTATTTTTCTCCCAAAATTCTGGATTTTCCTCCCAAAATTCAGATTTTCCTCCCCAAATTTCAGATTTTCCGCATTTTTCGCCCTAAAACCCCCATTTTTTCACATAAAAACTCCATTTTTTCACCAAAAATCGCCATTTTTTTCCCTCCAAACCCCAACTTCCCATTTCTGTCCCTCTAAAACTCCAATTTTTTACCCCAAAATCCCCATTTTTTCACCAAAAAAATTCCCATTTTTTACCATTAAAAATCCCATTTTTCCCCCATAACAATCACATTTTTTGCCCTAAAATCCTCGTTTTTTCACCAAAAATCACCATTTTTTTTTCTCCGAACCCCAATTTCCCATTTCTGTCCCTCTAAAACTCCAATTTTTTAAGCTAGAACCCTCAATTTTTGGACAGAAAAATCTCTTTTTTTTAGCATAAAAACCGCATTTTTCGCCCTAAAACCCCCATTTTTTCACATAAAAACTCCATTTTTTCACCAAAAATCGCCATTTTTTTCCCTCCAAACCCCAATTTCCCATTTCTGTCCCTCTAAAACTCCAATTTTTTAAGCTAGAACCCTCAATTTTTGGACAGAAAAATCTCTTTTTTTTTAGCATAAAAACCGCATTTTTTGCCCTAAAAACTGCATTTTTTCACCTAAAAAGCTCATTTTTTCACCAAAAATCCCCATTTTTTTTCCTCCAAACCCCAATTTCCCATTTCTGTCCCTCTAAAACTCCAATTTTTTCCCCAAAAATCCCCATTTTTTTAACTAAAAAACCCCCATTTTTCCCCCATAAAAACCCCCTTTTTCCCCTCTAAAATCCCCATTTTTTACCCTAAAATCCCCATTTTTTCACCAAAAATCCCCCATTTTTTCCCCTCCAAACCCCAATTTCCCATTTCTGTCCTTCTAAAACCCCACTATTTTTACCTAAAAGCCCCCAATTTATGGACAGAAAAATGCCATTTTTTAACCGTAAAAATCGCATTTTTCGCCATAAAATCCCCATTTTTTCACATAAAAACGCCATTTTTTCACCAAAAATCCCCATTTTTTCCCCTCCAAACCCCAATTTCCCATTTCTGTCCTTCTAAAACCCCACTATTTTTACCTAAAAGCCCCCAATTTATGGACAGAAAAATGCCATTTTTTAACCGTAAAAATCGCATTTTTCGCCATAAAATCCCCATTTTTTCACATAAAAACTCCATTTTTTCACCAAAAATCCCCATTTTTTTTCCCAAAACCCCCCTTTTTTCCCCCCAAACCTTGGCCTTGGATCGGAAGAAGCCGCGGGGGAAGAGGTGCAGGGGCAGGTGGGAGCTGATGATGCGGGGCCGGGCGTTGGCGCGCGCCCGCCGCAGCCCCAGCAGCGTCTCCAGCCACGGGCCCCGCTCCCAGTTGGGCACCGAGCGGCACCACGAGGGGTCCCCGCCCTCGCGGATCAGGCTCAGGATCTCCAGCATCCACACCGTGCCTAAAAAATGACATTTTGGGAAAATTTGGGTCATTTTGGGGCTTTTTTCCCGATTTTTTCCTGATTTTTTAGTGATTTTTTGTGATTTTTTGGGGATTTTTGGGGATTTTTTGGTGATTTTTTTGGGTCCCCGCCCTCGCAGATCAGGCTCAGCATCTCCAGCATCCACACGGTCCCTAAAAATCGAAAATTTGGGAAAATTTGGGTCATTTTTGGGGTTTTTGGGTTTTTTTTCCGATTTTTTCCTGATTTTTTAGTGATTTTTTGTGATTTTTTGGGGATTTTTGGGGATTTTTTGGTGATTTTTTTGGGTCCCCGCCCTCGCAGATCAGGCTCAGCATCTCCAGCATCCACACGGTCCCTAAAAATCGAAAATTTGGGAAAATTTGGGTCATTTTTGGGGTTTTTGGGTTTTTTTTCCGATTTTTTCCTGATTTTTTAGTGATTTTTTGTGATTTTTTGGGGATTTTTGGGGATTTTTTGGTGATTTTTTTGGGTCCCCGCCCTCGCAGATCAGGCTCAGCATCTCCAGCATCCACACGGTCCCTAAAAATCGAAAATTTGGGAAAATTTGGGTCATTTTTGGGGTTTTTGGGCTTTTTTCCCGATTTTTTCCTGATTTTTTAGTGATTTTTTAGGATTTTTTGGTGATTTTTTGAGGTTTTATTGGGGTTTTTTGGGTCTGATAAGACTCAGGATTTCCAGCATCCACAAAGTTCCTAAAAAACCCCAAAATTTTGGGACATTTTGGGTCATTTTTAGGTTTTTTTGCCTTTTCTTTTGACTTTATTTACTGTTTTTTTGGGATTTTTTGCTCTTTTGCCCAGTTGGGCACCGAGCGGCACCACGAGGGGTCCCCGCCCTCACGGATCAGGCTCAGGATCTCCAGCATCCACACCGTCCCTAAAAAACGAAATTTTGGGAAAATTTGGGTCATTTTGGGGGTTTTTTTGGGCTTTTTTCCCGATTTTTTTCTGATTTTTTTTGGATTTTTTGGTGATTTGTGGTGATTTTTTTAGGTTTTTTAGGGGTTTTTTTGGGTCTGATCAGACTCAGGATTTCCAGCATCCACAAAGTTCTTAAAAAACCCCAAAATTTTGGGATATTTTGGGTGATTTTTGAGGTTTTTTTCTGATTTTTTGGGGGATTTTTTGGGATTTTTTGCTCTTTTGCCCAGTTGGGCACCGAGCGGCACCACGAGGGGTCCCCGCCCTCGCGGATCAGGCTCAGGATCTCCAGCATCCACACCGTCCCTAAAAAACGAAATTTTGGGAAAATTTGGGTCATTTTGGGGGTTTTTTTGGGCTTTTTTCCCGATTTTTTTCTGATTTTTTTTGGATTTTTTGGTGATTTGTGGTGATTTTTTTAGGTTTTTTAGGGGTTTTTTTGGGTCTGATCAGACTCAGGATTTCCAGCATCCACAAAGTTCCTAAAAAACCCCAAAATTTTGGGACATTTTGGGTCATTTTTAGGTTTTTTTGCCTTTTCTTTTGACTTTATTTACTGTTTTTTTGGGATTTTTTGCTCTTTTGCCCAGTTGGGCACCGAGCGGCACCACGAGGGGTCCCCGCCCTCACGGATCAGGCTCAGGATCTCCAGCATCCACACCGTCCCTAAAAAAATCAAAAATTTGGGAAAATTTGGGTCATTTTGGGGTTTTTTTTCCGATTTTTTCCTGATTTTTTAGTGATTTTTTGGGATTTTTAGGGGATTTTTGGGGATTTTTTGGTGATTTTTTTGGGTCCCCGCCCTCGCGGATCAGGCTCAGGATCTCCAACATCCAGACTGTTCCTAAAAAATGAAATTTTGGGAAAATTTGGGTCATTTTGGAGCTTTTTTGGGCTTTTTTCCAATTTTTTCCTGATTTTTTAGTGATTGTTTGGGATTTTTTGTGGATTTTTGGGGATTTTTTGGTGATTTTTTTGGGTCCCCGCCCTCGCGGATCAGGCTCAGGAACTCCCATTCATTTTTTTTATTTTCCTCCCCAAATTCTGGATTTTCCTCCTCAAAATTCCAGAATTTCCCCCAAAATTCAGATTTTCCTCCTCAAATTCTGGATTTTTCTCCCAAAATTCAAATTTTCACCCCCAAATTCTGTATTTTTTCTCCCAAAATTCAGATTTTCCTCCCCAAATTCCATATTTTTCTGCCAAAATTCAAATTTTCACCCCCAAATTCTGTATTTTTTCTCCCAAAATTCAGATTTTCCTCCCCAAAATTCAGATTTTCCTCCCAAAATTCAGATTTTCCTCCCCAAATTTCAGATTTCCTCCCCCAATTCTGTATTTTTTCTCCCAAAATTCTGGATTTTCCTCCCTAAAAACCCCCAAATTTCTCCCTCAAATTTGGATTTTCCTCCCCCAAATTCCATATTTTTCTCCCAAAATTCTGGATTTTCCTCCCATCAGATTTTCCTCCCAAAATTTCAGATTTTCTCCCCCAATTCCGTATTTTTCTCCCAAAATTCTGGATTTTCTTCCCTAAAAATCCCCAAATTTCTCCCTCAAATTTGGATTTTCCTCCCCCAAATTCCATATTTTTCTCCCAAAATTCTGGATTTTCTTCCCTAAAAATCCCCAAATTTCTCCCTCAAATTTGGATTTTCCTCCCCCAAATTCCATATTTTTCTCCCAAAATTCTGGATTTTCTTCCCTAAAAATCCCCAAATTTCTCCCTCAAATTTGGATTTTCCTCCCCCAAATTCCATATTTTTCTCCCAAAATTCTGGATTTTCTTCCCTAAAAATCCCCAAATTTCTCCCTCAAATTTGGATTTTCCTCCCCCAAATTCCATATTTTTCTCCCAAAATTCTGGATTTTCTTCCCTAAAAATCCCCAAATTTCTCCCTCAAATTTGGATTTTCCTCCCCCAAATTCCGTATTTTTCTCCCAAAATTCTGGATTTTCCTCCCAAAATTCAGATTTTCCTCCCCAAACTCTGGATTTTCCTCCCGAAATCCAGGGATTTCCCCCCCAAATCCCAGAATTTCCTGTTGATTTTTGTTCTCCCAAAATTCAAATTTTCCTCCCCAAAATTCAGATTTTCTTCCCCAAATTTCCGATTTCCTCCCCCAATTCTGTATTTTTTCTCCCAAAATTCAGCTTTTCCTCTCCAAATTCTGTATTTTTTCTCCCAAAATTCAGATTTTCCTCCCCAAATTTCAGATTTTCTCCCCCAATTCCGTATTTTTCTCCCAAAATTCTGGATTTTCTTCCCTAAAAATCCCCAAATTTCTCCCTCAAATTTGGATTTTCCTCCCCCAAATTCCATATTTTTCTCCCAAAATTCTGGATTTTCCTCCCAAAATTCAGATTTTCCTCCCCAAATTTCAGATTTTCCTCCTCAAAATTCCATATTTTTCTCCCAAAATTCAAATTTTCCTCCCCAAAATTCAGATTTTCTTCCCCAAATTTCCGATTTCCTCCCCCAATTCTGTATTTTTTCTCCCAAATTTCAGATTTCCTCCCCCAATTCTGTATTTTTTCTCCCAAAATTCAGATTTTCATCCCCAAAATTCAGATTTTCCTCCCAAAATTTCAGATTTTCCTCCCGAAATCCAGGGATTTCCCCCCCAAATCCCAGAATTTCCTGTTGATTTCTGGAATTTTCCCGAAACGGCCGTTTTTTGCCCCAAACCCGACCGGATTTCTGGTAGGTGACGTTGAAGACGTCGTCGTCCTCCACGGGGAAGTCGCGGGCGGCCTCGAGGCCGCGGGGGGAGTAAAGGAGCCCCGGGAAGGTCACCCCCCCGTGCTGGAAGTACCCGCGCGACATCGCCCCGCCTGGGGAGGAGAGACACACCCGAAATCAGGGAAATCCGACCCAAAAATCCGCCCCGAAAATCACGAAAGTCCAGAACAAAAATCCCCGTCAAAATCTGCCCGGAATTCCCAAAAATCCACCCCAGGAATCCCAAAAATCCAGCCCAGAAATCCCA